CGCCCCTTGAGGAGGGGGTACTGTCATGATCCGTGGTTTTCTGTTTATTTTGAGTTTTTCTGTGTTTATTCAGTCCTGTGTTCCTGTGAGTCTCTGTCCTGTCCTCCCCGTTGATCGCTCCCCAGGTGTGTCTCATTCCCTTGATTACCCCGTGTGTATTTAAACCCTCCTGTTGTCTGTGTTCCTCGTTGGGTCCTTGTCGTAGTTTGTCACTCCAGTAGAACTGTTAAGTCCTGGTTTGTGTTTGTTCCGTCTGGTCCGTTTGACAGTTGCTACCGGTATTTAGCTGCGTGCTTGTTCCTGCCGTGCTGCCTGCCTTGGACTGTTTGTGTGCTGTTTTCACCATTAAATACATCATCTTCACCATACCTGGGTCTCAGCGTCTCTCCTCACCACCAACAACCCCACCATATGATAATAACCTCACTCCAACTGATTAACTTCTCTAGACTTAAAAGAGAAAAGGTGGGGGTTTTCCTGAGAAAGTCAGAAATCTGAACCACAAAAGAAGTTTGTATAGATAGTCTACAATTTATTTTAATATTTACAACATAAAGAAGCTACTTAGCAGTGATGAGACTTGAAATGGACACTTCCAACTCCCAAAAGGGCTAAACTCCTGCTTTTGTTCAATCCTATTGCTGGCTCTGGTTTGGCATAATTAACAGGAAGCTATATTTGTTTCATTATTTTTATTTCAGTTCTCCCAGTTCGTCTGACTGTGAGTCCCAGCAGATCTCAGTTCTTTGAAGGAGAATCAGTGACTCTGATCTGTGAGGATGAAAACAGCTCTGATGGAGGAACTGTGAGGAGAAACACAACCAGAGGAACCAGTACTGAATGTGGAAAAGGGTGGGGGAGACCAGCTGGATCTACCTGCAGGCTGACCTTCCTCCTCCCATTAGACTCTGGCCTGTACTGGTGTGAGTCCATGTCTGGATCCTCCAGCAGCAGCAGCAGCAGCATCCAGCTCTCTGTCTCTGGTAAGATCAGACTGTGGAGTTAGTGTTGCTGTGTGGAAATGGATGAAATGCTGTAGTTTGTCTCTGTGTTGAGGTGGATCAGTGATCCTGCAGAGTCCTGTCCTCCCTGTGATGGAGGGAGATGACGTCACTCTGAGCTGCAGAGCAAAGAGTCCAGCCCACAACCTCCCAGCTGCTTTCTATAAAGATGGCTCCTTCATTGGTGATGGACCATCAGGTCACATGACCCTCCTCCATGTCTCCAGCTCTGATGAAGGCCTCTATAAGTGCAGCATCAGCGGTCAGGGAGAGTCTCCATCCAGCAGGATCTCTGTGGAAGGTCAGCAGCTTCTCTGTTTGCTTCAACCTTCATCAGGAGACAAGAAATAAATTATCACCTTTGATTCATTTCAAGGAGAATCACCAACACTCCTCCTTCTCCAACCTCTACACATTCTCCATCCTACATCTCTCCTCCTCCTGGTTCATCTTTTCCCACCATTAAAGTTGTTGCTGCCATTTTTATCTCTCTGGTTTTACTTTCATTAATTTTTCTGGTTCTTCTGGTGAGACGATGTTTCTGCAGGAAACCTGAAGGTGAGTCTTCAGTATTAGCATTATTTTCATTCGTTTCAACAGGCTTACAATTTGTGATACTTATTTTTTGGATCTGTTGCTTGTTAAGAAACTGCAAATTGGTTTTATGTTTATTCTGTTTTATTTCAGATGAAGGAAAAGATGAAAAGGAAATCATGTACAGTGACCTGAAAACCTTCAAAAATCAGACGCAGCCAATCAGAAGCAGCAGAGGTAAAACCTCATGTCCTGTAGCTGATAAAGTTTTAACTTTTTACTTTAAAGACCAAATAAATAAAAAATCCATTTTCTGCTTCATAGTAAAGATCTTTATTTGTTCAACTGATCATTCTAAAACTCAAAAGATAAATTTATTATGAAGAGAAATCGTATTATTCCAACAGTCGAAAAACATGACTGTCAGGTTGATTAGTCTCTCCAAATTTCCCCTAGGTATGAGTGTCTGTTCATGGTTGTGTGTCCTGTCTGTCTCTGTGTTGCCCTGCGACAGACTGGTGACCCGTCCAAGGTGACCCCTGAATGTTAGCTGGAGAGGCAGCAGCACCTCCTGACCCACTAAGGGACAAGGTTTTAGAAAATGGATGGATGGATCTATACAGAAAGTTTTCGATTTAGTCTCTGCTTCATTTAGCTGATCAGAAATCAAACAGAAGTAATCTGGTTGACTTTTAGAACCTTGAATCATCTGAACTTAATCTTTATTTTATCATTTATTCTTTACCATCAGATTATATTAGCTCACCAAAACTGACTGTTGTCTGTTTTCTCTGCAGATTAACTTTTGTTGTGCAGTGCTTTTCTTCACCTTTTACAGCTAATAGGTCAAATGTTTTCAGCAATCACAGCTGCCGTTATTTTACCTAAATTAGAGGCGTTTGTTTTTTCCACTGCAGGTTTGACCCTTCAGTTAGATGGTTTTGGTAGCTACTCACTGTTCCTTTGAGTGTTTCTGCAGCCTGTGGTTATTAAAGCTAGCACGCTAACAGTTAACAGGCTAACAGCTCTATATTTATTAAAGCTAGCAAGCTAACAATTAACAGGCTAGCAGCTATGTGGTCGTCCAGCTTCCTATTATTGAAGGAAACATGCAGGTCAAACTGGAGCTGCTTATAACAGTGTTGTGGTACTCAAGACAGATCTTGATCTCGAGAACATTTTTTGATGGTCTCGTCTCGGACTCGACCGCATTCGGTCTTGTCTCGGGCTCTGAGGACTCGGCATTTTATTTCAAGACCAGTCTGTCATGATCGATGTGGTTGAGGTGGTGAGGAAACGCAGGTAGACCCAGGTAAAATGAGAATGATGAATTTAATAATGTAGCTCACAGTCTTGAACAGGCAGCACGGCAGAAAGTTAGCACACAGCTAATACCGGTAGCAACTGGATAACAGACATGTAAACGAGCTTAGGTCGATGCAGGACTTCACAGTTCAACTGCGTACGACCCATAAACAGACGTAGACTGACGGCACAGGGAAACAGTTACAAATGACGAGGATCTGACAAGGAACACAGACAACAGGTGGGGCTAAATACACACAGGGTAATCAGGGGGATACGACACACCTGGACAGAAAGGAAAATAGAACTGCAGAGAACAAAGGGGGATAAAAACTAAAGTAGATCTGTGAACATCAGAGGATCTTCATGAGGAAATCTCAGATCTGTAGGGTTACATTTCAGTCTTTCTTCTTCTCTTGATGTTTTTCTCTGTTTGGCCTCAAACTCTCATCCACATCATGACACATATTTCCTCTGGCGATGCAGTGAGGAAAGAGACTTTTAACATCTTCTAGTGTCTTATTCTCTCTGAGCACCTGCTGTGATGTCATCACATACTGTGTCCATGGCAACTAGAATGACCATCAGGAACAAAGAGCAGGATGAGAGGAACTCTACCAGCTTCCTGATGGTGGCCTGATAGAAACTGGCATCATGTCCTCAGATTCTTCTGACTGTTTTCCTCCTAACTCTTCCTCCTCCTCGTCTTCTGACTGATTCTGGCCAAATCCTCGTCTTTCATCATCAGAAATAACATCATGTTGGACAGATTTAGTTAAAAAAAAGCAATAGAAATGTATTAAAATATGTTTGGCATATTATAGCAACCTGTTCAAACATTTTGCATGTTGAGACTCATATGATGAACTTATGGCTAAATGTTATGGAGGATGAAACTATTCAACAGAGACACATTTTAATCAACATGATTAAAGCAAATAAAAATATAAAAGACAGACATTTACAGTTCAGTCGGTCTGATGGTTTCAGAGAGAACAGACTCTCTGGGTCTATTTTGTACCTTGTTAACCTTTATTTAGCAGAAGTGAGCAGCTCTGTGTCTCTGTTTATCACAAACATTTATACATTTACATGTCTGACATTAACAGCAACAAAATTAAAAAAAAAGTTAAAATGTGAGTGTGCTGAGAATTCTACATTTCTCTGAAATAACTCAGCCAAGTTCTTTGTGTTCTAACATAACCAATAATACCTGCAGCGATCTTATTTCTACATGTTTTTCCAGATCCAGCTCTGGTTTACTCTGCAGTGAGAACTGGAGACGTCGAGTACGGACAGATAAACATCAGAGAGACTGGAGACCAGCAGAGGAGGAGAGGTAGAGACAACGCTCTGCTTTGATCTGATTGGTTTTATCTTTCAGTTGTAGTTTAATATCTGAGACTTGAGTTGCAGTGTTTTAATAGTAACTATTTAGCTCCTCTCTAACTACCTTGGACTCTTAAACCACCAAACTTCCTGTTTCCAGTGAAGTTTGTCAAGCAGCAAACATCCTGAGTTCACCACAGGAAACGTCTGACGGTTTTATAAATAAAAACCTGTTGGTCCAAACTGAGCGGCTCGGTGCGGTTCTGAAGGTGTTGCTGTGTTTCTGTGAACTGACTCAACGCTCAGTTACGTGTGTTTTAGAGGAAATGAGCAGCTCTGTGGTCTGATTCACACGTTTATAGATTCATATGGTGGACAGAAGCAACAGAACCATTAAAAACATTTCTACCATAAAACATGTTGATCTGAACGTCTATGATAAAAGGTATTAATCTGAACGCTAACAGAACCTCTAACACCTGTAATCTGCTGTTCAGAGATGGATCCGGGTCCAGTTTACTCTGCAGTGAGGACAGCAGACATCAGACCCAACAGAACCAGAGGTACCGACTAAACTTTACTGGTTTTAACCTGCAGACTGGAAACTACATGTCTGATGAACTGAGGAAGAGGAGGAGCAGATCTTCATCTCATGTCACTTCCTGCTCAAACGTCTTCAGGAAAAACTCTGGAGGAAAACAGACAGAAAATCAGGATCTGAATTTAGAGAAACTATTAAATCTGGGAAACATTTAAAGTTTCTGCTGCCAAATCTTCATATTTCAGCCTTCAGTCCATCAGTGATCATTAAATATAATCAGTTAATTTATCAGCAAAATGAACTGATGCTCTTTAAGGTTCAGGAAAACTGTCAGCATGATAGAAGAGAAACTAAAATGTTTATCAAGGATCATTGGAGACAGTAAAATGTGAAACATCCTGATTTTCTTCCTGTCACTTTATACCAGGAGATAAATAAACCATACAGACATAAAAACATCTAACAGTAAAAACTATAACTGACCCGAGAACTGAGCCCTGAGGTTCTCCATCTGTAACCATGGAGGGAGTAAAATATGAATCATTTAAATCTATAAATCTGATCAGATCTAAACCAGCTCAGTGAGGCTTCATGGATCCATACAGCTTCTTATTGACTATCTGAGGGAAACTGATCAGATCTGGCAGAAGATGCTAATCAACATGAATCAATATAAATATATCTCCTTGGTTATTAATCTAATCTGTCTCTGGCAGGATGATGGACTCAAATAATCTTAAATCCTTCCAGGATTAAATCTAATCTCATTAAAATGATTTCTGATGATATTCCAGATTAGCATCATGTCACCACTCACCTCATACTGCAGCTCATTAGAAAAACACATGCTGGTTTTAACAAGGAGCTCCTGGTGATGATGATGATGATGATGATGATGATGATGATGATGATGGTGATGATGATGATGATGATGATGATGATGATGATGATGATTAGAACATGGCTGCAGATTCTTTATCAAACAATGTTTTTTACATTTCAATTCTGTTTTGAGTTTTTATTGTTTTTATCTCGTTTAACCATCAACCAGCATCAAAACTTTTCATATCACGTTATTTAGCAATAGAACCTGGAGATCATTTTTCCCATTAGTATTTTATAGATGTAACATTAATAAAAGAACATTGTGAATATATTCATAAGGAACCAGTCGGTATGAATCTGTTTTATTTTTGCTTTCAGAACCGAAACCGGAACCAGAACCAGACGTGGTTTATTCTGCAGTCAGACCAACTGATGGACGATAACAGATCCATGAACATCACGTCTGTTTACACTCAGTTATTTTTATAAGAGATTGATATAAAACATATTGTAACTTTATAGTAAATTCATAAACAGCTAATAGATAAAAACCATTTTCATTTGATTTGACATGTTTTATTTTCTTATGGTCCTTTAATATCATTACTGAAACATTGAGCTTCTGTTTCCATCATCAGTGTCATTATTATTGATATTTATATATAAAATCTGCCTCATTGCTGTTATATTTGCTTTAAGGTTAAATAAAGTTTGTTCCAGTCGATGTTTTGTGGTTCTGTTTGATGATCAGATGGAAAATGAGACGTTGTGATGTGGATGTGGTGAACCGCCGAGAAAAACTAGAACAAACAAACCACCGCAGAACAAAGAGGCTGGAACAGAAAGGTTCAGTTTGAAGAGGTTTAAACCTTTAATCTGGTTTAAACCTTAATCTGGTTTAAAACCTTTAATCTGGTTTAAACCTTTAATCTGATTTAAAACCTTTAATCTGGTTTAAACCTTTAATCTGGTTTAAACCTTTAACCTGGTAAAAAACCTTTAATCTGGTTTAAAACTTTAACCTGGTTTAAAACCTTTAATCTGGTTTAAAACTTTAACCTGGTTTAAAACCTTTAATCTGATTTAAAACCTTTAACCTGGTTTAAAACTTTAATCTGGTTTAAAACTTTAATCTGGTATAAAACCTTTAGTCTGGTTTAAAACATTTAATCTAGTTTAAAACCTTTAATAAAACCTTTAATCTGGTTTAAAACCTTTAATAAAACCTTTAATCTGGTTTAAAACCTTTAATCTAGTTTAAAACCTTTAACCTGGTATAAAACCTTTAATCTTTTTTAAAACTTTAACCTGGTTTCACACCTTTAACCTGGTATAAAACTTTAGTCTGGTTTAAAACCTTTAATCTAGTTTAAAACCTTTAATCTGGTTTAAAACCTTTAATCTGGTGATGAAACCAGTGAGGGATTATTTTCTGTCAAATTAAAGCAGGTCGGCTCNGCTAACAGCTTGCAGGCTAACAGCTAACATGCTAACAGCTCTGTGGTCGTCCAGCTTCCTGTTATTGAAGGAAACATGCAGGTCAAACTGGAGCTGCTCATAATTCACTGCAGGACTTTAATTTAAAACATTTAACGGTGATATTTTCTCTGTGTTTCCTACATTTTTGATCAGAGTGAATTTATTTTGAAGATGCTTTAAAACAGTAAATGTTGTGAACAAATAATGACATTTTAATGCAAAGTTGGCATTTTTATCAACTTTCAATTAAACTTTTAGAGCAACTTTGCATTAAAGTGTCATTATTTCCTGAATTTACTTCATGTCATAAAGATTCTTTATGAATCATGACAGATGTTATGTCTGATGTATGATGGTGTCAGTCTGCACACCTGTCAAATAAAAAGATAATATAAATGTATTAAATATATTTGGCAGGTTGTCGACATGTTTAACCTGCTCAGACATTTTGAATCTTAGGACTCAGATGATGAACTTATGATTAAATGAGTTGAAACTATTTAACAGACACATATAATACATTTTAATCAACATGATAAAAGCAAATGAAAATGTAAAACCCAGACATTTATCAGTCGGTCTGAAGGTGTCAGAGTGACTCTGGGTTTATTTGAGCCTCATTAATTTAGCAGCTCTGTGTCTGTTTATCACCAACATTCATATATTTACATGTCTGACATTAACAGCAGCAAAATAAAATAACTGTTAAAATGTGAGTTTTTTCATTTCTCTGAAATAACTCAGCCCAGTTCTTTGTGTTCTCACATAACCACTTATTATTATTTCTACATGTTTTTCCAGATCCAGATCTGGTTTACTCTGCAGTGAGAACTGGAGACGTCGAGTACGGACAGATAAACATCAGAGAGACTGGAGACCAGCAGAGGAGCAGAGGTAGAGACCATAATACTATATTAGTTATTTATTGTTCTCCCTGCAGTTCATTATGTTAGATTCATGTTCTTTATAGCATTTTAACAGTAACTTTTTAGTTCCTCTCTAACGATGCTGGACTCTTAAACCACCAAACTTCCTGTTTCCAGTGAAGTTTGTCAAGCAGCAAACGTCCTGAGTTCACCACAGGAAACGTCTGACGGTTTTATAAATAAAACCTGTTGGTCCAAACTGAGCGGCTCGGTGCGGTTCTGAAGGTGTTGCTGTGTTTCTGTGAACTGACTCAACGCTCAGTTACGTGTGTTTTAGAGGAAATGAGCAGCTCTGTGGTCTGATTCACACGTTTATAGATTCATATGGTGGACAGAAGCAACAGAACCATTAAAAACATTTCTACCATAAAACATGTTGATCTGAACGTCTATGATAAAAGGTATTAATCTGAACGCTAACAGAACCTCTAACACCTGTAATCTGCTGTTCAGAGATGGATCCGGGTCCAGTTTACTCTGCAGTGAGGACAGCAGACATCAGACCCAACAGAACCAGAGGTACCGACTAAACTTTACTGGTTTTAACCTGCAGACTGGAAACTACATGTCTGATGAACTGAGGAAGAGGAGGAGCAGATCTTCATCTCATGTCACTTCCTGCTCAAACGTCTTCAGGAAAAACTCTGGAGGAAAACAGACAGAAAATCAGGATCTGAATTTAGAGAAACTATTAAATCTGGGAAACATGGAAAGTTTCTGCTGCCAAATCTTCATATTTCAGCCTTCAGTCCATCAGTGATCATTAAATATAATCAGTTAATTTATCAGCAAAATGAACTGATGCTCTTTAAGGTTCAGGAAAACTGTCAGCATGATAGAAGAGAAACTAAAATGTTTATCAAGGATCATTGGAGACAGTAAAATGTGAAACATCCTGATTTTCTTCCTGTCACTTTAAACCAGGAGATAAATAAACCATACAGACATAAAAACATCTAACAGTAAAAACTATAACTGACCCGAGAACTGAGCCCTGAGGTTCTCCATCTGTAACCATGGAGGGAGTAAAATATGAATCATTTAAATCTATAAACTATAAATCTGATCAGATCTAAACCAGCTCAGTGAGGCTTCATGGATCCATACAGCTTCTTATTGACTATCTGAAGGAAACTGATCAGATCTGGCAGAAGATGCTAATCAACATGAATCAATATAAATATATCTCCTTGGTTATTAATCTAATCTGTCTCTGGCAGGATGATGGACTCAAATAATCTTAAATCCTTCCAGGATTAAATCTAATCTCATTAAAATGATTTGTGATGATATTCCAGATTAGTATCATGTCACCACTCACCTCAGACTGCAGCTCATTAGAAAAACACACATGCTGGTTTTAACAAGGACCTCTGATGATGATGATGATGATGATGATGATGATGACGATGATGATTAGAACATGGCTGCAGATTCTTTATCAAACAATGTTTTTTACATTTCAATTCTGTTTTGAGTTTTTATTGTTTTTATCTCGTTTAACCATCAACCAGCATCAAAACTTTTCATATCACGTTATTTAGCAATAGAACCTGGAGATCATTTTTCCATTAGTATTTTATAGATGTAACATTAATAAAAGAACATTGTGAATATATTCATAAGGAACCAGTCGGTATGAATCTGTTTTATTTTTGCTTTCAGAACCGAAACCGGAACCAGAACCAGACGTGGTTTATTCTGCAGTCAGACCAACTGATGGACGATAACAGATCCATGAACATCACGTCTGTTTACACTCAGTTATTTTTATAAGAGATTGATATAAAACATATTGTAACTTTATAGTAAATTCATAAACAGCTAATAGATAAAAACATTTTCATTTGATTTGACATGTTTTATTTTCTTATGGTCCTTTAATATCATTACTGAAACATTGAGCTTCTGTTTCCATCATCAGTGTCATTATTATTGATATTTATTCATAAAATCTGCCTCATTGCTGTTATATTTGCTTTAAGGTTAAATAAAGTTTGTTCCAGTCGATGTTTTGTGGTTCTGTTTGATGATCAGATGGAAAATGAGACGTTGTGATGTGGATGTGGTGAACCGCCGAGAAAAACAAGAGCAAACAAACCACCGCAGAACAAAGAGGCTGGAACAGAAAGGCTCAGTTTGAAGAGGTTTAAACCTTTAATCTGGTTTAAACCTTAATCTGGTTTAAAACCTTTAATCTGGTTTAAACCTTTAATCTGGTTTAAAACCTTTAATCTGGTTTAAAACCTTTAATCTGGTTTAAAACCTTTAATCTGGTTTAAACCTTTAACCTGGTAAAAAACCTTAATCTGGTTTAAAACCTTTAATCTGGTTTAAACCTTTAATCTGGTTTAAACCTTAATCTGGTTTAAAACCATTAACCTGGTATAAAACCTTAATCTGGTTTAAACCTTTAATCTGGTTTAAAACCTTTAACCTGGTATAAAACCTTTAACCTGGTATAAAACCTTTAATCTGGTTTAAAACTTTAACCTGGTATAAAACCTTTAATCTGGTTTAAAACCTTTAATCTGGTTTAAAACCTTTAATCTGGTTTAAAACTTTAACCTGGTTTAAAACCTTTAATCTGGTTTAAAACCTTTAATCTGGTGATGAAACCAGTGAGGGATTATTTTCTGTCAAATTAAAGCAGGTCGGCTCATTCCTGATTTCCTCTCTGTCTTACTGAGTTATAAACTCCTGGAAGAATTCAGGTTATTGAGTTAAAACTGAAAACAAGTGAAACTCAAACTGAATCCAGATGTAAAACCGATTCAATGAGAACAAAGAGTCTGAACTCAACAGGAAGGAAATCAGAGCAGAACCAGAACCAGCAGCAGAATGTCCCTTTAAAACTAAAACTCAGATGTTTTACTCACTTCTGACACCTACAGGACAGAAAACACATTACAGCAGCTCACACTGTTGGCATGACAACACTCATGTTTACACTGAGATGCCTTTTTATGAATGTTTAAACCAGTGTTTCTCCACCTGGTCCTCAGGTCTCCTGTCCTCCATGTTTCAGGTGTTTCCCTTCTGTATCTCTGGTGATTAACAGGATCTGCAGCTCCTGATGTTCATGCAATCGTCTGAATCAGCTGTTCTGGAACAGAGGCTCATCTAGAACATGCAGAGCAGGGGGGCTGAGGACCAGGTGGAGAAACAAAACGCTGGGAGAGTCTAATGACAAATTAATGATTTATTATCAAATAACACCAATTATTCAATCAATCAACTTTATTAGTTTCATATTTCAGCAACAGGGCAGTTTAAAGTGATTCACATCATAAAAACAAAAATAAAGTTATAAAAAGAAAAGTTATTCACTTTATCTATGAATTATATGAATTGAGCTTCATTAATGCATCACAGGATTAAAACTGATGAGAAATGAAAATATTTATTTTTTTACTAAAACTCACAATATCAGATAATTAAATAAAGTTTCTAAACATACAGAAATCACATAGCAGGAGTTTGTTTTTCTGTCTACAGACCAGTAACTAATGTGAGATTAATCCTGAATTTATCAGGATTTATACT